TTTAGTCTAGCTGACCAGGGGGATAAAAAAATAAAAGCCTCTGATCTAGAAGTAGGACACCAGCAGTCTAGATAGGTCAACAAGCCCAGCTTCCCTTTCAGTGACTCTACACATAGCTGGGGAGGCCCTGCCAGTCCTGGGGCCCTAGACCAGGCTGTGGGAACACCCTGCCCCCCGCCCTTGCTGCAGTGCTACATATAGCACAAGGCAGGCACACCAGTAAAAGCCAGAGCTCAACGGATGCCTGGTCACAGGTGCGATCTAGCCTTTGCAAGTAATCCCACACAGCATCTCTAGAACCCTACATAAAACAAGTACAGCACCCCACTACCTAGAGGAAGAGTTGGAACTCCTCCAGCCTCACGGACAGGTTATCAAGCCTCAGTTATCACCTTACCTACTACTCTATTTCTTCCCTCATCATTCACTAGCATTTCTATCCTTCCCACCGCAGTCAGTCTCAACGAGCTCAGCCAGTCTCAACGAGCTGGGATTCTTTTTGCTCTCTTTCTTCTTTTTCCCTCTTTTTCCTCCTCTCTCCCACTCTCTCCTATCATAAACCACTACTGACTTCCAGATCACCACCCTCCATTTAGGGCAAATCAACCCACAGAGCAGGAAGAACTCCAGCCTGCCCTCTGTGGGAGTGCTGAACACCACACAAGGCAGCTGGGACAAACATCTACACGGCGCTGCGCTGCTGAGGAAACCTCCGTCGGACCTCTAGGCGAGCTCATCAACTAGGGCAATACTGCCCAGCACCACTGGGTCCCTGCATCAGAAGAGCCCACCAACCTGCCACTGTGAGGCAGGTCTAAACCCTTTTGGCACCTAGTACAAGTAATCAGGGATCAGCTATCTCTTTATTCTTCATTTCCCCATTCTCACGCTCCTCCCTCTTTACCATCACAGACAATCTTAGAGAACACAGTTGGGGTTTTTTTGCCCTTTCCCCTTCCTTCTCCTTTTTCTCTTTCTTTCCTCTTTCTATCTTTGTTCTCTTCGTGTCTCTCTCTGCTTGTATGATTCTCTCTTCTCCCTCTCATTCCTTTTACAAGCCACTGCTGGTTCCCAGACCCCTACACTCTGCCTAGGGCAACCCTGTCATCCCAGTGGGCAGCCTCACTCCTAAGACAGTGCTCCAATATCCCTAATGAACATTGATGCAAAAATCCTTAACAAAATACTGGCCAATAGAATACAAAAGCATATTAAAAAAATAATGCACCATGACCAAGTGGGATTCATACCAAGGATGCAGGGATGGTTTAACATAAAAAAGACCATCAGCATTATTCACACTGGTAGAAAAAAAGATAAGAATCGCATGATAATATCAATAGATGTGGAAAAAGCATTCGACAATACCCAACATGCATTCCTGTTTAAGACGCTCAAGAAGATAGGAATAGAAGGAAAATTCCTCAATATTATACAAACCATATATGAAAAACCAATAGCTAACGTGGTAGTTAACGGAGAAAAGACCAAAACAATTGCACTAAAAAGGGGGACCAGACAAGGATGCCCCTTGTCCCCACTCCTATTTAATATCGTACTGGAGGTCCTAGCTAACATAAGACAAAGGAAGGATATTAAAGGTATTCAGCTGGGGAAGGAGGAGGTGGAATTATCATTATTCACAGATGATATGATTCTATATTTTGAAGATCCCTTAAACTCCACAAGCGGAGTGTTGGAAGCAATAGAGGAATATGGCAGAGTGGCAGGATACAAAATCAACAAACAAGTCTATTGGACTGCTCTACACATCAGACAAGGTCACAGAAGAGGCAATTAAAAAGGTAGTACCCTTTACAATAGCCAAGCACAAATTGAAATACCTAGGGATATACCTGACTAAAAAAATGAAAGAT